GCCTCCAGTGCTTCTTCAGGACAAGTAAGTGGTGTGTGTGTTATGTGCGCGCACTAGCTGTTTTCTCACTATTATGCAGTTATTTCTTGCCAGATATTTGTCTATCTGACATTGAAGGCATATAATATATGGTGCAGTTTATCAGACTGTGAACCATTGAAGATGTAGAAACAAGAAAAGGTGATCTATTGTTAGACATCAATTGCATAAATGCATTCAAGTAATATAAAAACCATGTGTTACAGTCTCCAGAAGGAGGTACTAAAATAGAATATGATGGATAAGTTACTATTTAGGAATCAATACTTGTAAAGAGAAGGAGAGCATGTTTAGGCTAGATACAGGAGTGTTAAAGTTTCAGCCAAACTAATAGAGAATGTACCTTGTTAGTGTTATCCCACTGTGAGTCAACATGTTCTGCTGGGCTTTACTGCACTCTCCTGAGTCTTTTCTTTGCAGTAGAGAAAATGGATGACTACCAATAAAATTGTAGCAGCCAAGACCGTACAAGTCTCTCCTTGCAATGATTCATTGACATATCTTACGTCACTTGTATATATACTTGTACATGTTATAGACAACTGTCCTGGGATGCTAGTGGACTTTTTTGGAAACAAAGAGGTTAAAAGGATAGACTATGTAGCCTTACTTCTGCAGCCTACACTAAATCATGTCAGTTCTCCTCTGTCCACCTTATATTACCCTCACTCTTGCCTACTGGCTATGCTGGTCTTGGGAATCACCTACTAGTATAATCAGATTTTTCTCTTAGATCTCTGTGGATCCCTTGGTGGATATGTTCCTGTACTAGTGTGGGTTTTCTGTTTTTCTTCACTCATAACAGAATAGCACAGATTGAGTAATTTATGATGAATAGAAGTTTGCTTGATTCATAATTCTGAAGATGGGAAGTCTAAGATCATGGTGTCATTATCTGGGGAGAGCCTTATCCTATGGCAGAGATATCCTTTATCCAAGAGAGCATATTGTCCCAGGAAGAGGAGAGGTAACACAGAAGAGGGGAATACTAGGAGCTGAACTTACCTTTTTATTAGGATGCTTCTTCTAGGAATGAATCCCCACTCCTTTAATAGCAGCTTTAACCCATTTACAATTAAAAAGTACTCATATCCTGATCACTTTTTAAAGGCCTCATCTCTTTTTTCTTTCTTTTTCTTTTCTTTTCTTTTCTTTTTTTTTTTTTTTGAGACAGGGTTTCTCTGTGTAGCTTTGGAGCCTATCCTGGCACTCGCTCTGGAGACCAGGCTGGCCTTGAACTCACAGAGATCGGCCTGCCTCTGCCTCCTAAGTGCTGGGATTAAAGGTGTGCGCTACCAAAGCCAGGCTTAAGGCCTCATTCTTGATACCAGTATGCTCAAAATTATATTTTAGCATGAGTTTTGCAAAGGATATTTAAACTATAGTGTCCTCTATTATGTGATAGCAACTCTACATCTTTTCAGATGATTAGAGTTAATTATCCCTCTCAGGTTCAGACTCGTCTTTCCTGCTGGTCCCTGAAGTACGTAGGCACCTGAAATACTAGGAAGTATTACAGTTGTAGTGTCTGGTTTCCTATGGAAGCTGTGTCCCCATGAGCAGAAATGGAAAGCACAGAGTCTCCCAGTAGTTATTAGGACTGAGTAAGGGTCTATTCACACATGTGCTCCTAAGTTTCTTGATCCATGTCTTTGTTCTACCCTGGGGGGACAAAGTACCATGTAGAATGTTTTGACTTAGTGATCACTCTTACTCTTGTAGGATAGATTCCCATCCCTATATTGGCCCAGTTTATCTGTGCCTGCTATAATCTGTTCTACTACTCCGCTATGTTGGCAACTTCTGACTAATGCTATATGTGAGCCACTAGTGGGTTCCTTGGTCTGGAGAACAGTGTCATGTTTCCTCCTGTCATGAAGAGGATGCATCTTCCTGGTGCTTACCTAGATAGAATACTGTACTGATAGATCCGTCCCTCTGTTGGTGTTCTGAAGTTTTTTTGATCATACTCTTTTTACATGCCTTCTTTTCTACTAATTGAGGTCACAAGCAGCAAATCTGATTTAAAACAGTGAGTGCTTTTAAAAACAATGGCTATCTATTATTGAGTACTTAGTGTTCTTTAGACTTCATAAGTATCTTACATATCTTGCAATCTATTAACCACCTCATTTCATCCTTGTTAATTAGAATACTCTATATATGTGACAATAGGTTAGAGAAGAAACCGGCCTGATTTCTATGTCAAAAGAATGGGGATTTTAGTCTTAACTCTGGAAACTATTCTTAAACTGAGTACTGAGTAGGCCTGACTGTAAATTCTTTCTAGAAAGTATGTATTTTTTTTACTAACAGGTGTCAGTGTTTGTTTAAAATGACTTGTTAAACATGTCTTATTGTTGGTATGACACAAAAAAACTACTTTGAAACCTTGTGTTCAGTGTTTATGCTTAATGATGAAGATATAATAAGGCCTATTGTTAAGAACATAATTGTGGGGGCTGGAGAGATTGCTCAGAGGTTAAGAGCACCGGCTGCTCTTCCAGAGGTCCTGAGTTCAATTCCAGCAACCACATAGTGGTTCACAATCATCTGTTATAAGATCTGGTGCCCTCTTCTGGTGTGCAGATATACATGGAAGCAGAATGTTGTATACATAATAAATAAATAAATTTTTTTAAAAAAGAACATAATTGTCTAAATGATCTAATTTAGGATTAGTATTTCATCATTTCTCCCTTTTGGTTTTTCAAGATAGGGTTTCTTTGTATAACAGCTCTGGCTGTCTTGGAACTTGCCCTCAAACTCACAGAGCTCTGCCTGCCTCTGCCTTTGCCTCCCAAATGCTGGGATTAAAGGCATGGACCATGGCTGCCCAGCTAGACTTAGTATTTCTAATTGAATATGAACAAGGCTAATGTAATTGCTCTTTCAGACAGGTACAGAAAGTGATTTTGAAATGTAGCATGATCTAGTAAACAAGTGGAAAGTGCATAAAAGTATGAAGATTTGCTATACAAATACATTTTTAGAAAAGTGCAAATGTTTATGTGTGTGTACTTGTGGGTGTGCATGTATGTGTTGTCTTGTGTATGTCCTGTGTATGCATGTGTGTTGAATAAAGTTTTCTTCAATTGCTCTTAGCTTATTTTAGACAGGATTTCTTAATGAACCTGGAACTTGTCATTTGGCCTGTAGAGGTTGTCCAGTGAGGAGTACTCCACCCTGAGATTTACCTGTCTCCACCCTACAAACACTGGAATTACTGGAGTAGAACACCATGCCCAGCTTTTATGTGGGTGCTGATGATCAGAACTTAATACCTTATGTTTACATTCAACCATCTTCCCAGCTCCATTAATAATATATTTTAATTAACATTTTAAGGACTTTTTTGTGTGACACTGTTTTTCACAGACCACCCTAGGGACAGTAAATTTTATTCTTAATTTTGCTTTTGGGGATGGGTATCAGGATTATAAACTTAAGTAACTTGCTGGTAACTAATACTGTAGTAAATGACAATGAAGAGTAGAATGGTATCTGGGAGTGAAATGAAGATCTACTCTAGTTCAGAGTTCTGATAAAGTGCCTTAGATTTTTAAGTGTACCACTTGAAAGCAGAGATGTCAAAATTCATTTGTAGTCTTTTCAGTGTAAAGTGAAGTTCCCACTACTGTATCATTAGCAATACACAATTAACTTTGTGTTGACTTACTTTCAGTCTGTGGCTGTACCTCCTGTCAAGCCAGTGAATACTGTAACTATCCTGAAGCCATCAAGTTTGGGAGCATTATCTACTCCCTCAAATGACTCCAATCTCAAAGCAGAGACCACAGTAGCTGCTCAGACTAGTCTTTCTCCGGTAAACTTTCACCTGCATCTTGTATATAGTTTTTTGGTTTTGCTATATACTCTTTCCTGTGTGCTAACATTTGTGATTATTTTTCTATATCAGATAGTGCTGGAAAATGTGAAAAAATGCAAAAACTTCCTTTCAATGTTAATAAAACTAGCATGTAGTGGATCACAGTCCCCAGAAATGGGACAGAATGTGAAGAAGCTGGTGGAACAACTTTTGGTAAGTTAGGATTGTGTAATTTTGCAAGCTTTATGAGAGTCCATAGGACATATTTCAAATGGGAAATGATGTTTCATATATTTGTTTTAAATAAACTTTCTAAAGCCTTTTGCTTCATTAGAGCTTTGTAATCACTACAGTTAGAAAATCACAACATATAAAAAGTAAATCTTTAGTGTGATAATTTTATCATGTCTAAGATAAACATGATAATATGAACATATTTTTAGGGCAATTTTTAATGTATATTTTGTGGACAGATAGCAACTCATCAAATATCCTTTTTAGTTTTAGATCTCAGACCAACAGACAGTAGTTCTCAAAATTTTGGTATAGAATACCTTAATATTCTTAAAAATAAATACGCTCTCAAGATTTTAGTTTTTGTCCCTGGAATTAAAACTAAGTATTAACGATATTTATTCAATTAAGAGTAACAAAACCATTGAATGTTAACATATGTGATATTTAAAGAAAAATTATGATTTACAAATTAACAAACAGTGGGAAATGACATTGATTTGCATTTTGTAAATTTGATGCTGTACTTAATAGAAAGCAGCTGGATATTCTTTTCTTACTCTATTTTGTGATGGGTTCTTGGAGAATTTGTTGTTAGAGAATTACTGTCTTCTTGAAGAGAGGTAGTTAGAATATTGAGCATTTTAGTAGCCTTCTCTAGAACTGCTTGGATATTGTTTAGTCTATTAGTTAATTGTTACACTGTGAATGAATCTTTTTACTGATGTATAATTTCTGTAACAGCATGCATGTATTGTTTAAGACAAAATGTTGATTCTTAGAATTATTCAGCTCTTCTAAAAGTTTCCATATATTTAATGTATTAAGGTAATTGATTCTTAATTTCACCCAACGTTTACATGTGTACATCTGTATATAGCTATAAATCTATGTCTCTGTCTACCTACCCACCTTCTATCTTGTGTGTGACTGTAGTGTGTATAAATGTGTATGTACCTGCTGTACACAGAGGCCAGAAGAGTGTATCAGGTATCCTATATCACTTTGCTTCATTTGTTTGAAGAAGGGTCTCTCACTGAACCTGGAGTTCATGGCTTTTTTGCTAGACTGGCAGCAAACATGCCCCTAGTAATCTGGTCACTGCCCTGGTAGCATTGGGGTTACAAGGGCTTGGGAGATTATATATGATTGTTATGTTGATGTTGGAATCCAAACTCAGGTCTTTGTTAAACACAATGAGCTCTTAACCATAGCCACCTCTCTGTTACATAAGTATTCTTTGTTTTAGTTTAGTTTTGTTTGATTTTTGAGACATGGTTTTTCTGTGTAGCAGTCATGGCTGTCCTGAGCTTACTTTGTAGACCAGGCTGGCCTTGAACTCACAGAGATCTGCCAGCCTCTGCCTCCCAAGTGCTGGGATTAAAGACATGCACCTCCACTGCCAAGCCACCCACAGAGGAGTCTTTTAAGAAAAGCTTTAAATTCTAAGACGCTATCAAGTTAAGAGAAAGTTATAAATTGTCCAGAATTGTGATTCTTTGCATATTGGAATATTTTCCTTCATGAAAAGAATACTGTTTTTACTGTATTCTCTGATTGGACATGTCTGCTTATTCATTTAGTTCTCTGGTGACATGAAATAAAAAGGCCTTCTAAAGTTGTAATTTACCACTTATGAAGAAACTTGTCTAAAATCATGTATTAAGTACTTTGCCTCATTTAATTTTTAAGAGACTGGCTCACTGCTGTCTATGCTGGCCTTCGACTCCTCGATAAAGTGATTTTCCTGTGTCAACATCCCGAGTAGCTTGCCTCACAAGCATTCACCGCTGTACCTAGTTTTGTTTCTTAAAATATTCGTAGACTGGGGAGGCTGTGGTCAGGAGTAAAATAAATAATTAAATAAAAAACTGTAGACCTAAAAGTGTCATCTTTCTCCCATTTCTTAGGATGCAGAAATTGAAGCAGAAGAATTTACTAGGAAATTATATACTGAACTCAAGTGTGCACCTCAGCCACACCTTGTACCTTTTCTTAAGGTAGGGGTGTATTTCTTTGGAGAAGAAATTATTTGGGTTAAATTAATTTAAAATCTGAATGTTTTAATGTGACTGGAAATCAGTGAGAAGATACTAATGGTGAATGAAAGCACTTTTGTCAAGTGTAAGACAACATTCATAGTATTGATTTGAGCAGTTTAGAAAAACAGGCATTAAGTAACTTAAGAGAAATTCACATGCATTTAGTTACTCCACATGTGTGGAGGTCAGAGGGCAACTTGAATGAATAGGTTTTCTTCTTTCCCATGGAGATTCATGACATAGAACTCTGGTTGCCAGGTTTGGTGGCAAACGCGTTTACCACTGAGCCATCCCACTGGTTCTCCCCAAGAGGAGTAACATCTTACTCATGAATGTAACTTGATGACTTGATATTGTATAATGTTTGAATTGGAGTATATTCAAAGATTTTTTGGTGTGTATGTGTGTGTGTGTGTTGAAGTAGGGCATCTCCCTAAATTGCTCTCTATCTTATTGAGAACATAGCTCATGGATGTGAGTAATTTTATTATTAGCCAGTTTGCTTCAGGAATTTATTGTCTCTGTGTCCAGAGTGCTAGGATTTCAGGATATTTACATGGGTGCTGGGGATTCAAACTCAGATAATTAGGTACTTTTAAATTCTGAATCATCTCCCTACTCTTCTTAGGTTTTTTTTTTTTTTTTTTTTTTTGAGACAGGGTTTTATGTTTTCAAGGCTAGCTCCTGCTTAACATGTAACTGAAGAGTATCTTGAGTTTCTTATAATTCTGCCTCCACCTCGTAAGGGCTGGGATTGTAGATGTAAGCCAACATGCCTGACTTGTGGGGGTGGGGTGAGGTCTTTGTGATCCATATTAAAATAATAACCAAACATGGTTTATTAGAGCCAAATTTTTTTTAGATGTGTGACAATGTATTTTTATTATATAAGTGTAGAGCCAAATTTAATGTGGTTATAACTTAACTATTTCACTAGTGCCAAATTAGTTATGATTATAATTTTTAATATATCATGATAAAAGGACCAAGAAACTGAGAAAGTATTAGCCAGAGATTTGTCTTAGGGTAGGACAAGTTGAAAGATTAGCACAGTAACTAGTATTACATTTAAATAAAGTGAAATATTTGGTCTTTGTACATCAAGAGCCATAGCTAGGGTTGGACAGATTTTTCTAGAATGTGAAGTTCTGTTTGTAAAATCACCCATGGACGTTGTCTGGATGCCCTAACCTACTACTTATTGAGACAGTAGAGGCATTACCTCTAAGGCCCCTTCATTCCTAATGTTTTTTAGTTGTAGGTGCTGTTCATAGCAGTGATATTTTTCTTTGTCCATTGATGCTTTGCCCCTATTGTATGGACTGTAAGGGAGAAGAAAAATTGGTGACTATCTGCTGTGTGACACATGATGTCAGTTTTCAATTGTTAACAATAAATGTTGAGGTGCTAAACTTTTTAAGAGAAAGGCATATTTTGACACACAGTTTTTTAGAGTTTATATTTTGTAATTGCCTATGGTTTTAGTTGTGTGACAACATATTATGACAGCAGCATGTGATAAAAATCAGACTGCTCATCACATGGCCTGGAAGTGAAAGAGAAAGAAACTAGAGTCCTGCAGTCCTGTGAATACCACCATGCCCCAATCCCCTTAAGATGAAGACTTACCCTGGGCCCCATTTCTTAAAAACTTCTACTAGTACTTTTTCATGGTGCCAAGCTGGGGTCCAGTCCTCTAACACACAACCTTTGAGAAGTACTGAAGATATATGTCAACCATAGCAAAAGACATAATGTGTATTGTTTGCACTTGATTGTCGTATGACCTTTTGAGAATAGACACCAAATAGTATTTTCTGTTTTAGAGAGAACAAAAACCATTTAAATTGCCATTTTGTTTTCCCAGGATTTGTTAATTTATATTTTTGAGTGTTTTACCTGCATGCATGTACATGCATATGTCTCTTGTCCCAGGAGGTCAGAAGGTGTTAGATCCCCTATGTAGTTATGGATGGTTGTGAGTTGCCATGTAGGTGCTGGTAACCAAACCTGGGTCATCTACCATCAACCATTAACTACAAGTAAGTCCCCAGGGAGTGGTGGGGGCTTGTGTGCCCTTAATCTTCCACTATAGAATGTTGAAGGGACAAATTTTGTGCAGATCATTTTCTTTAAATAAGGTTTTGTTTTGAGAATTTCATAAATGCATACTATATGCTTTGATCATAATCACCATGTCTTTCCCATCCAGTTTGATACTCTGTCCATTTAATAGTCCCTATTTGCCACTCCTCCTAAGTTCATGTTTTTGTTTGTTTGTTTTCTTTTTTTATAAAACCCAGTGAGTTCAGTTTGTGCCACCCACATTCTCTGTTGTGAGGCCAACCCATCAGGGGCCACGCTCCTAAGGAAAACTGACTTTCTCTCCCCCAGAAACCATCAGCTATCAATAATTCCTCGGAGGTGGGGGCTTGTGAACTTTCTCTTATTTTATGACAGGGTGTTGATGGTCTTGTGCAGGCGGCCAGAGCTGTTATGTGCTCATGAGTGAAGTAGTCCTGTCATGTCCAGAGGACTCTATTTCAGTTCAGTCCTCCTGATCTGGTCCTTATCTTTCTGCTCATTCTCTGAGATGTCCCCTGAGCCTTGAGGGGAAAGATTGTTATATAGATGTCTCATTTGTGACTGAGTCTCTTCACTTTGAACAGTTTTGAGTTTCTGTGCTAATTGCTACCCACTGCACAAAGAAACTTTTCTGATGAGGTCTGAGAGCTGCACTAATCTGTAGTTTAGAGGTAAAAATTTAGAGAAAGTTTTGATACTATGTTCATTTAGCTGAATAATAGTAGTAGGATCACTCCTGGGGCATATGAGCCATTGGTTCCTGGTTAGGTTTATAGTACCAGGCATGTGTATCTCTATAATATTCTTGCCAATATTGCACCCATGAGTGCCTTTTTGCCAAGCCACTTGTTAATGTAATTCACTGGATTCTCTAGCTAAGACTGTTGATGAATTACCCCCAGCAGCATGCACAGTATTGTGAAAGCTAATCAGTAATGAGGTATCTTCCTGATCAAGTACCAACTTCGTTTCTCCATGTCCTCTGGCCAAAGTGTGTGGTATCTTCCATAGTAGGGTCTTACCAAGTGGAAATAGCCTATATTGCTTTAGGGGTCTCTGGGGCAACCTTGGCTAACAGGTTGAAAGATGTATCCCATACTTTCTACTGTTTTTTTTTTTTTTATTATCCCTTCCCATCCTTTTCCCCACTAAAACCTCTTCCCACCCCCCACTCCCTTTTTTCGAGACAGTGTTGTTTTGTGTAGCCTTGCCTGTTCTAGAACTACCTCTGTAGAGGAACTCACAGAGATTTGCCTGCTTCTGTCTCCCAAGTACTGGAATTAAAGACATCCTTCCTTTTTCCCTCCTTCCTTCCCTTACTTCCCTTACTTATTTTGAGACAGGGTTTCTCTGTGTAGTCCTGGTTGTGCTAGAATTCACTCTGTAAACCAGGCTGGACTTGAACTCAGATTGATATCCTCCTGCCTCTGCCTCCAGAGTGCTGGGATTAAAGGCGTGCACCACCACACCTGGATGTATCTGCTTTCTAAGGACCTATGAATTCTCCTTTTTTTAAAAAACAAACAAACAAACAAACAAAAAAAAAAAACTTGATGTCTCCTGGCATCACTGAAGAGAGCTTGGGGCTTAAATGCTACATAGAGAGGACAGATTTGGCATTTCAGCTTAATCTTGGTCATGGCTAAGAAATTATTAAATATGCACTTATATTGTCTGTTTAACTCTCATTAACATTTGTTTTCAATTAGGTTTTTCTGAGAAATTCCTTTTACATTTCCAGTTGAAACTTATTAAATCATTTTTCATTTTGTGTTTTATTTTCATGTAAAGGCTTTACATCCAATCTTTAAAAGCTATTAAAATGACCTAGATCCTTCTGTGTTATAATAATCAATAATCTTTTTATGGACTTAGATGAGTAGAGAGATGAGTTATTTTATCAAGTTGATCATTGACATATCCAAAATAAATTTAATATTTTCTCATTTATATTAATATTTTCTCACTGAGAAAGCACTTTGGCCTTTAAATTTATTGTATCCATATACTGATAGAAAACAAAATGATAGAAAACAAAACAGATGAAACACTTGATATACTTTATGTTGCTAAATACAAACTTTGCTTTACTTTTAGCTTATTTTGTTACCTTTATCTTCTTTACTGTTTCTAGAAGAGTGTGGTTACCTTAAGACAGCTTCTCCCTAATTCCCAGAGCTTCATTGAGAACTGTGTTCAGGAAATCTCTGGTGAGGTGGTCATTGCCTCTTGTACCACAACAGCAACAACTTCTCCTGTGGTGACAAGTCCCGTTTCCCCAGTCCTTGTCTCTGGAGCAACAGCACCCAGAACACTGTCTGTTCAGACCCTGAATCCACTTTCTGGTCCAGGAGGAACAAACACCGGAGTTGTGACACTGCATTCTGTGGCCCCAGCTGCTGTAACAGGAGGTACAACACCTGCAACTGTTTTGCTCCAGACTTCAAAACCTCTTACAACATCAGTACCAAATACAGTGACAGCAGTATCCATTCATCCTGAGAAGCCAGTTGTGTCTGGGGCAGCAGTTACACTGGCCTTGCCATCAGTAACTTTTGGAGAAACTTCAGCTGCACCTGTTTGTCTTCCATCTGTGAAGCCTGCCATTACCTCTCCTGGGACCAAACCTGATAAACCCGTCATTGGCACTCCAGTCCAGATCAAACTTGCACAGCCAGGCCCCCTCCTTCCACAGTCACCTGGCATTCCACAGGCCGTCCAAGTCAAGCAACTAGTGAGTACCATTTCATTTCTCCCTCAGCTACTTACTCAGAAAACTTTACACATTCAGGATATTGATGAGACTTTATATACTTCCCAAATTTGACTAGTTGAGATTCTTTTAGACTCACTTGTTTGGTTTTCCTTTTTATAGTTGTTCAGAGAAGCTCACACACAGTGTTTATTGAACATTTGAGAGGAGCTGGTGGAAGTTGTGATTTTGTACTTCAAAAGTCTGTTTATTTGTCCTTCCTACTCCCTTCCCTCTCTTCTTTCTTCATTCCTTCCCTTCCTTCTTTTTCTGTGCCAGAGATAGTGCAAAAATACCTTAAGCATTCTAGGCAAAAATTCTACCACTGAGCTATATCACTGGCCCTTTTAAAACTTATTGCTAAGTTGGCTTTAAAGACTCAATCCTGATAATACATAATTGTGCCCTCAAATGACTGTGTATCTCCTAATGAAAAGGATTGTTTTTATATTAACATAGCCACATGTGGAGCATTGATATAATACTTATTGTTCCAGTATTAATCTTTAAAAATAATTGTTTTTAACATTTATTTGCTTTGTTTCATATGTGTGTTTTGCTTGCATGCATGTATATGTGGGACTCAAATCCTCTTCCCTCTAATTCCTAAGTGTTGGGATTACATTACTGTAATTATTTAAGTGTCTAGTCTAGTTATTTGATAGAAGTCTCTTTGTTTTGTGTTATTGCTTCAATATTACATTAAGTCTAAATATTTTTGGGAGCTATTACATAGGTGATTATTATGATGACCTTATTTTAGTACTGAAAATTGAAACTAGGGCCTTGTATATTCTGGTCAAGTGTTCTTTCATTCAGCTGTAACTCCAGCTTTTTGTTGTGTTTGCACTCTCTGTCTCTGTCTCTCTTGGAAAGCAGAGGGTGACATTGGATTTATTCTGGATTTCAGTCCACCTTGTATTTATTTCTGCATATGTACATCTGAGTGAATATATACCACCTGTTTTCTGGTGCCTTAAGAGGCCAAAAGTGGGATTTGTAATTACACAGAGTTGTGAGCCTCTTAGTGTGGATGCTGCAAATGAACTTGTGTCCTCTGGAAGAACAAAAAACACTCTAACACTGAGCTAACTCTCCATCTCCTTCACACAGTTGAATTCTCCTATTTCTGCCCCAAGTATTGGACCTACAGACATGCTCTACCGTTCCCAGCTTTGATGTGGACACTGGGAGCACTATCCATTGAACCAGTCCTTCCACTACCTTTTTGCTGTAAAACCAGCCAGGCAGTAGTGGTGCAGGTGTGGTGCACATGCCTTTAATCCCAGCACTTGGGAGACAGAAGCAGGTGGATTAAGTGATTTCTAGGCACAAAGTAAGTTCCAGGACAGCAGAGAAACAAAAACATCAAAAGTCCTAGGGTCTCCCTCAGTTGCCATGCTGACTTTGAACTTGCAATCCTCCTCTCATCCTACTAAGTAACTAGTATAGGCCTGTGCTGTTCATTAGGTGTGGCTCTTATTTGGAGTTTTGATTTAAAAAAAAAAATGCTAAGGAGTCAGGGAGAAAGTGAAGGGAATAAGACAGGAGTGCATTTTTTTTATTCTTGGTATGTTGAATAGATTCATTGGTAAAAGAAGAAAATTTTAGCTGTTAACTTGATTATTGTTTAGAATTTTCTACTTCACTAAGGAAAAAACTGTCTATCTATCTATCTATCTATCTATCTATCTATCTATCTATCTAGATGGGGTTTCTCTGTATAGCCCTGGCTTGAACCCATCTTGTAGACCAAGGAATGTCAGATCTGCCTACCTCTGCCTTCCAATTGATCAGATTAAAGGAGTGTGCCACCAGCACACATTATATCAGAAGACTATAAAAGTATTGTTAACCCATGGTAGCTACTACATGGTGAATTAATTTGCAATCACTTTTCTAAGTAAGCTCTTACCACAGACTGCTTTTTTGTTGTTGTTGGTTTTTGATTATGGCTTTTGTAAACTTTTGTGTTAGATATGCTGTTTTGGATCTCTTTGATTTAGTTCACTCTGTTCTGTGTGTGCTTTCTAGCCATACTTGTATGAAGAGGTAGAGGCTGCATCTACACATGATTGTCCTCTAAGGCAGCTTCAGGCATAGCAGTTGGCTGGAATTGAAGCACAATTTAACTGTTAAATAGTTGAGGTAATAGTCATTTAGAGAACTCTCACCTTATGTCTTAACACTATGTTTGAATTTCAAGTAGAGAAATGTATAAACTGTGGCAGGATTTCACTGGGTACCTGAACTTAAACTAAGGTATGAAACATTCGTTTTTGTTCAGACCTGCTAATCTACTTTCCAGTCTGTTTTTAAGGAAGAGACTATCTGTTTATAGTAGGCCCTTTCTGAGATGAGCCTCACCTCAATACTACTTTTCTTTAGTAAACAACATAAATAGCATCTTTTGCATCATAAGATGTTATATCTTTTTGGTCTCCTGATACATAAATGTGGCCATTGGTTAGACATCCAACAATACTGCTAACCAAAAGCTTTATCTCCTTTACCTTCTCTTTGCCAAAATAACCAAATCTCAATACACTTTGTTTTGCAGTCAGTCAATCAATGACCGTGTCTATATTCATACTATGATAATCCTTTTAAAACTTATTCATGAGCTTAAGACTTTCTTAATATTTATTTTTGGTTAGAATAATTCTGGAGAATTTTATACATTTAGTCGTTTGCATAAGATCTCTAACTATGCTCCAAGTTGTAAGAATTATTCCAAACTACTATTACATGGTTTCAATTCATATTATCTTATGAGATTCTACATTTTACTTACCACCACTTTAAAAAAAATAGGTTTATTACTGCATATTCTCTTTTCTTCACATGCTATCTTTTTTCCTTGTTGATTATTGTATATTATATTCAGGGGTTCTATGAACTAAAATTGTTCAGTTTCTTTTAGGTGTAAGCTTTTTATTTTGTACTCAAATAGTTGATAGGAGAACCTGCTTGGTAGTTTTGGGGATTTTTGTAAGAATTCAGTTCTTATAAAGACTAATCTTACTGGCTCTCCATCATTTTTCCTATAGTAACTATACACTCAAAGAATACTAAACTTATTATGTATAGAAACAATCAGGTAAATTTTATTAACATCTGGCGGTTTTGATCTGGCAGCTAAGGATGTGAAGAGCAGGAAAAGTTTCCAGTGAAGCAGGTAGCAGCAGAGAAAACTCAGCACAAACAGAAACAGACAGAATCAGCAATTGAAAAAGGCTTTTATTGAGGGTGAAGAAACACACACTGCAAACACACAGAGAAAAAGACTCTCTGCAAAGCAGAGAAGGAACTCAGGAACTGAAAATCCAGTCTCTAGGGCTGAGGGTTTATGTCACTGAAGAGACTTCAGAGTTGGTCAGTGGAAGCACAGGATGGCCAATTAGCTAACAACTGTTGTGTAAGTTGTCCTGCCTTGCTTTTACCTTGTTGAGCCAGTGCATCCACATGGGGCCTCCTGGGGAGGGAATCTCTGGAGGTCTTTGTTTTAAGTTGCCAGGCTTTTGTCTGTCTAAGGTCAGACAGGAGAGGAAGAAGCCTTACACCTTAGAAGTTCATCATCTTTATTACCTATTTTTCTACCTACCAGGGACTCTAACTACTGGTTTCTCCATTTGATGCTTGAAAGTTCTCTTTTAGATATTTGTGTAAAGATTATTTTACTTATTTGAACAGAAGTTAAATTTCAGTTTTAATTAGCAAAAGTAATTTAATTCAGAACAGCAAAATTGTAATTTCAGTCAGTTCATTTTTAAAATTTAAATTTCTAAAATTAATTTTACCAGATGAAATTAAAAGTAAAATTACACAAAAATCCATAGGATTTGCAAACAAAATTCAAGAATGAGAAAGTTAATTAAAAATCCATCCCCTTCCAGGCAGATAATTTTGGAAAGTAAACTGAATGTTGTATGGAGATGGCAAAACAAAACTATAAGAAGAAAAATCAGAAATACAGAGATTCTTTTTTATTATTACAAAATCATATTTTATGTAGTAAAACATTGTGTGGACAGGGAAATGTGCAAGTTTAGAGATACAGGGGTGTAGAGGCTCTACAGTACAGCCGAGACCTGATTTTGGGGAGAGTATATGGTAACTTTGGTAATGGGATGCAGAGGCCAAAGATTGGAAGACTTGGGGTAGAAATTTATTACATGCCCTTCTAGGACTGGGAAGAAAAGTCTGATCAGTAAAGTGTATGTCTGTCCTATGAGTCTCCAGCAGCAGCTGCAGGAGACAGACCATCTTGAGGATGACAAAGTTCACCTTCATAGGCAGTCTCAAAACAGGTTCCATAGAAGATGCCCAGAGTGAATAAAGACAAACTAAAAGTGTCATCCCTCCCAGTGTACAGTCTAAAAGTGAGAAATGCCAACAGGAAAGCTATGTGAAGTCTGGATTTCGGTTGAGGCAGGGAAACTAGAGCTGGGGGTCAGTCAGAGCTCCACAATGAGAGTCTGTCTCAAACAGATGGAACCAGCCTTAGGGGCAGGATATCATCCAACTCATTGATAGAGTGCTTGCCTACCAAATATGTGGGACCCAAGGTTTCAATACCCAGTATTGCAAAACAAAAAAACCGCCCCCCGCCCCCCCCAAACTACTAACCATCATGTCTCAATGGCTAAGCTCAGCATCCTAAGGATCCCTGGCTAGTAGAGCCTTACCACTCGCTCCTGCCAAATAAGCATTAGACATAATTCTTGGTGGGTATTTGGAAAGTCCCCAAGAGACTGTGGGGGCAGATGTAGTAATGGTCAGGTTCCCAGGATCCTCCAGAGGACCAGGCACAGCACAGTAGCCCTCCACCAAGCAGCAAAAGGCCTGAGGCTGCCCAACCCAAATAGAGGGAGGCCCCCAGCTCTTGCTTTTGAACATCAGATACCAAGGGGTTGTAGAAATTTTGGATGATGGAGTTGGCCATCCAGCAAACAGGAATGAGGGTCAGGACCACAGAGATGACAAAGATAATCCCAGAGATGAGCACCAGTCAAGGGGAATTCTTGTCTTCCACACATGTAATGCACTTTGCTCCAACAAGATACACCAAAAGGCCGAGCAGGACAATGAGGAGGGTGATGACACAGAGCTTTTGCAGCTTGTAGGTCCTGGGGCAGTGCCAGTAGTAAGTCATAATATACCTTGCACTGCATCTGGACAGTGCTCTGAACCACAGGACATACACAGCTCTTCCTGTT